TAAACATCTTATGGTTCTACCAACGTAAATTGCACTGGCATTTTCATACACAAATAATAGTTTTAGAGAAACAAGTAAGTTGATCCTTAATTTTATAGGTTTTATCAATATGATCTTCAAAATTGACAATGTGGTTTTTACTGCAAGTCTCTCTACAAGCAAGACAATAGCCAAAACCATAAAGTCCCATACCTTTTGAAGAACATTTTTGGAACTAGTAGTTCTGAAGCAGCTCTGAACTAGTGTGTTTTTTTGGGGGTTTTTTGCAGCCACTGTAGACATCTGTGGACAGGAAGGTAATATTTTTTTTTTTTTAATGCGGTTGTCCTGAAGAATAGGCCAATAAAGGTTAATTAATTTACAGACTTTTTTGTACTTACCATTAAAATTACAAATAAAAGGAAAATTGTTCCTTTGTAATTATATATAAATTGTTCTTCCCAGAAAGCCATAAATAGATTTGCATAACTGGGTGTGAACTTGGTGCCCATTGTTGTTCCCTTGAACTGTAAAAATATGAATCTTTAAAAAAAAAAAAAAATTATTGGTAAGGATAAGGTGAATGCTTTCTAAGGTAAAATTAATTTGTTCTTCTTTAAAATTTCATTTGGTTAAAAAATGTTGAACTGCCTCAATGCCTTTATTGTGGGATGTTATACTGTAGAGAGAGCTGACTTCACAATTGACTAAAATAAAATTTTCTTCCCTTTTTAATATTCCATTTTTGTAATAGATGGATAGTGTCTTTTAAATATGAACGATTTTGTACCCTATTGGTTGGAGCAAGATATCTATGTATTCTGAAATCCTTGAGATAGTCAACGCCAGAAATAATGGGTCTTGCGGACGGGTTGGTTTGGTTTTTATGTACCTTGAGTAGGTAGTAAACTAGAGGGATTTTTGGGTGAGCAATAGAAAGAAGACTTAATTATAAAACCCTCTGACAAAGGAGGGGGCAAAGTATACCTTCCTAAAGACCAACAGGGCCGGAGTGAGGATACGGAGCAGCCCTGGAAAAAAATCTATGCAAGCCCCATAAGTCATTGTGCAATGTAGTGTGTGATATATATAATATATATAATGTGTGACAAAGTGCCCTTCGCCACTTGTGCTTGGAGAGGACTAATTGCCAGCCTCCTGCTATGTGACTATGGTCCCTGGGAGACTTTGCCAGTCAAAAACACTATTTGGACTTATTGGTGCTTAAAAGTTTTTGTTCTGGCCCTTTAAATGGAACTGGCACAATTCTACAATCTTTACTATGGTACTTCGGATTCAGTCGAAGTGCCGAAGTAGTCGACGTGGCCGCCATTCAACAACCAAACACGTGGCGGCAGCCATTTTGATTAATTTGAACGCAGTCAGCTGTGTTTTGCCATCGAGTTAATGGAACTAAAATCGGCTACTCGATGGCACGAACACCGCTGAAGTTTACTGGGATGAATAGACCGGCTGCACAGCCCAAATCTATGGAACTCTTTTGGGAAGGAAAGCCATGTTTGCGGTCGGTCAAAGGTGACTTATACTTATCTCCCAAACCCCTGAACCGATTCGGGTGATTTTTTTAATATGTATGTCCCCTAGTTATGCTTGTTCTGATGCTTGTTCTGAAAATGTAATTGTATGTGATGTATACTTTTAAAGTTATGAATATTGTGTAAAACTATATATTTCTCTGCCTGTGATACTTAAGTTAGCCCATTGTGTTTAGTAATTATATCACAGGCAGAAGGGAGGGTTTGTGG